ATGGCGGGGTGTTTGGCGGGGCCGGGGAGATACATGTGCTGTACGAAAAAGAGAGGGCACAAGTATTCGCGCATTTCCGTCTTGTTTCCATCTGTCTTTCTAATATATCTTCTACTGTTGTCATTTTCTTTGTAGCCCTCAGTTCACTTCCATTACTGCCTAAGACACCCCACGTCAAACCCGCCTCACTCTACCATCGTCATCATGGTGCAGAAGCTCTCCTCAAACCGAGCAGTGAAGATGCTCGATGCCGCCGCAGCAGGCAAGTACGGCGTGCTGGGTGTCGTGTCCTACAATCTCGAGACCATCATTGGCGCCATCAAGGCTGCCGAGAAGAAGCGCGCTCCGCTCCAGATTCTTCTCTTCCCCTGGGCGCTGCACTACTCTCCTACCTTCGTTGACGCCGCCTCGCTCGCCTGTCGCTCTGCCTCAGTCCCCGTCACCCTCCATATGGATCACGCACAAGATCCTGAGGTCATCAAGCGCGCTTCTCAGATTAAGGCCACGGATGGCACACCGGCGTTCGATAGCATCATGGTGGACATGAGCCATTACGAGAAGGAGGAGAATCTGGCAAAGACAAAGGAGCTGGTTGCACTGTGCCATTCGCGCGGAATCGCTACAGAGGCCGAGCCAGGCCGCATTGAGGGCGGTGAAGACGGCGTCAAGGACACAGCCGAGTTGGAAGGCATGATGACAACAGCGGAGGAAGTGGACGACTTTGTGGCGACGGGAATCGATTTCCTGGCACCGGCATTTGGAAACGTGCACGGCGATTATCACGGCGTGGAGAACATCCATCTGGACTACGACAGGTAAGCCGTATAGGTTGAGCGAGGACGCGATCATATGGAACCTGACTCGTTATCAGACTAGCTTCAGTCCACGAAAAGGCCAAGGGCAAGGTGCAGATCGTCCTGCACGGCACGAACGAGTTCATCCCAGAAATCCTGAACAAGTGTATAGAACGCGGTGTCACGAGAGTCAACGTCAACAAGATGGTGCTGTCAAATTACTTCGAGTACGTCGAGAAGAACACCGGCAAGGTGCCGCAGACGAAGCTTCTGGAGGAGGGTACCAGGTTGATTCAGGAACAATGCGAGTACTGGATCGATCACATGGGCTGTGCAGGAAAAGCAGATGCATAAATAAGGATATGATGAACTGGAGAATCTCTTGTATCCTTGGTATACTCACATTGGCATATCCCATCACATTGTTCTGATATTGGAGAGTCAAATGCTCATAAACGCATGCAATTTCAGCTGTATACTACTCTTTCAAACTCGCAGCAAAATCCTCGACCGCCTGCTTGAAGCTTGCATCGGCCACAAAGCCCAGCCCCAGCGCCTTGCTGACGTCGAACTGTATCGGCCAGCTGTTCAACATATCTCTAATCTCGTCTGATGGCTCCTCGCGCTTCACCAAATCGAGTGCTTTCTGTCCGCCCACGTCCTTTAGTGCTTGCAGCATCTCAGCTACATCTGCTGTGATGCCAGGCAAATTGATTTGCCTGATGTGCGAAGGCATGCAATCCTTCTCCAGCGTGAGCGTGTGCTGCAAATTCTTGATCAATGTCCTAGGTGAGCAGAGCCAGGCCTTGAAGTCGTCGCCACACGGCAGTGTGCTCTCCTTCCCTTGCAGGGGCTCTCTGATGATTCCGCTCATCCACGAACTTGCCGCCTGCGTCGGCTTTCCCGGCCGCACCGAAATGGTCGGGAACCGCAGCGCGAAGCCGTTGATGAAGCCTCTGCGCGTGAAATCGTTGATGGCATACTCGATCATCGTCTTCTGCGCTCCGTAACTTGAGCCCGGTGTCGGAACTGTGGCTTCGGAGGGCATGTCCGGCAAGGGCTGGCCGTATATGGCGGTACTAGAGGCATATACGACCCTAACTCCCGGACACGCCGCTCGGATAGCTTCCAGCAGGCGCAGTGTGCTGTGCAGATTCACGCGGTATCCGAGATCGAAATCTGCCTCAGAACCTGCGGACATGATGCCGTGGAATACGAAGATTGCGTCAAGGTCTTTGGATAACACCGAGTTGGCGTCTTCATAGAGATCCGCTTTGATGCACTTTGCGTTCGAAGAGTGTTGTGACGCCTTTGGCGGCACGGGTGGCTCGAATATGTCGACGAGAGTCACGTTGTGGCCGTCGTTGAGTAGGTGCTCAGCCAGGAGCTGGCCGACGAACCCTCCAGCGCCGGTAATGAGGACCTTCATGACGGGATCAGATCTGGGATGGCAGCTTCAATGGGCTCGGAAAGGACAGGCAGTGTGAGAACAGAAACGAACAAGGAGAAGTTGGAGATAAAGGGCAGACGTTTCTGGAACAGTTCCCCGCAGATGGAAGAACATGCGTGGATACCTTCTGTTATACTCTTGACTCACGATACCGTAATAGCCGAGAGCTATACCGGTGTTTGACGACTCACGAACGCTTCACCGGAGAAGCGCACCGAGACATGGAGAGATGGCCGAGCGTCTCACCCTGCCCCGCGGGTTCCCTATTGCAGCAACCTGCAGCACGCCGGTCCATCTCATCCCGAGCTGTTTGCTGTCCTGTGCGCGGTGACGCGGGTGAGTGAGCGGAGTGGACTTGCCAAGAGCGCGCCGTGTCGGAGATCATGCCGCTGCGACCTGAAGCGGAACGGCATTCCACCCATCGAGTTCAAGTGAAATCTTCCCTTCACCCACAACCCCAGATACTCCAGGTCTCCTCTCCAGGCAAGAGATATCATGGGGTTGCCAACTCTCCCAAGCCCTTGGCCATGGTAAGGTCGTCGCTCATGGCATCACTTGGCAGGCGTACGGCAGTGTTTTGCGACCCACTCGCGACCGAATCCATGTATTATAAGAGGGAGCTTCCATCCATGGTAAGACCTTGATCCCCAGGCAAGTCGTCGCTCTGCTCCAGTCTCTCTGCGCATTTGCATAATCCGCTTTCTTTACACGCTCTGCCATCTCTGCGAGCATCGTCACGATGACTGCCGACCTGAAGGAGAACGCGCTCGCCGACCAGACAGAGTTCAGAGCGAGCATCGACAAGGCCGAACCCAAGGGCAAGAACGAGCAGCAACAGGCACTGTATACCGAGTTCGCCACTAAAGACGAGGAGTGGAAGGAGTATCACACTAAGAAGCTGCTTCGCAAGGTTGACATTCGTCTGCTGCCATGCTTGGTTATCATGTATCTTTTGAACATTCTCGATCGCAGGTAAGTACCCAGCCTGTCCATCGTTCCTGCTAGATAAGAGACCTCGATCTGACACGGATCCAGCAATCTTGCACAAGCTCGTCAGGGCACACTGGAGGAGGACCTGGGTATGAAGGGTACAGACTTCAACCTGGCGACGAGCATTCTGTTCGTCGGATACCTGCTCATGCAGCTCCCGTCGAACATGATAATCACACGCGTACGCCCGTCGTTATACTTGGCAGCAGCTACTTCGCTCTGGGGTGTCGTGTCCTGCTGCAATGCCGCCGCAAACAACCTCACCAGCCTCATCGTCATCCGTTTCTTCTTGGGCTTCGTGGAGGCACCGTTCTTTCCGGGCGCCATCTTCCTCATGTCGTCGTGGTATACTCGCAAGGAGATGACGCGTCGCATCTCTTGGTTCTACAGCGGAAACGCTCTTGCAAACATGTTCGGTGGTCTTTTGGCCGCCGGAGTGCTCGGAAACCTGCACGATGCATTAGGCATTGCTGGGTGGAGATGGTATGTTAGACTGCTTCCTGCATGCTGTCGAGCACCATGCTGATCTTTCAGGCTCTTCATCATCGAAGGATCAATCACCATCTTCGTTGCCCTCTGCGCTTGGTGGATTCTTCCCAACTACCCTGCCACGACGGAGTGGCTCACGGAAGAGGAGCGCCACTTCGCTGAGTGGCGCCTGCTAGAAGACATCAACGAGTCGGATGACCGCCACGCAACCACGGTGCTGGGAGGTGCGAAGTTGGCCCTCAAGGACTACCGGCTCTACATCTTCCTCTTATTCCAGCACATGAGCTTGCTGTCTCAGACCTTCCAATACTTCTTTCCAAGCATCGTCGGCACTCTTGGGTATGGCAAGATCGAGACTCTGCTTCTCACTGTTCCCGGTACGTCTGATGACATCGAGTTTGCTACGACCAGATTTGTTCTCGCTAACTGCGATGTGCTGTAGTTTGGTTCGCCACCTTCCTTGTTTCGGTCCTGGTCACGTACACTTCTTCGCGCAGCGGCGACCGCTCTCTGCACATTTTCAGCTTGATGCTCGTGGCAACGATCGGAAACGCCATCGCAACGGGCACCACAGCACTCGGCGCTCGCTTCTTGGCCATGTTCCTGATGCCCATGGGCGCCGTCTCCGCATACCAAATCATCGTATCCTGGGTTGCGAATTCCTTCCCACGGCCGACTGTGAAGAGATCCGCGGCTATTGCCATATGCAATATGATTGGTAATTGCGCGTCCATCTACGTAAGCATGTCACAACACAGCATTTGTGCTACGATGTTGACCATCATTGTAGGGCAGTTACATGTATCCGGCCTCTGCCGCGCCACAGTATATTCCTGGTGGAAGCGCCAATGCGGCAGTGTGCTTCTTGGTGGCATCACTAGCCATCGGTTTGAGGTTCGTGCACAAGTGGGAGAACAAGAAGCTCGAGCGTGCCGAGCAAGAAGGTGCTACAGCAGAGGGCGTGCAGAGGATGGCCGCTGGCTTCAGGTACATCTATTGAGCAGCGGTACAAGGCTCACTCATCCTCCGACTTCAAATACAAACTTTGTTTACACGTGAACACGCAATTAACGCCACATACGGCCACGGATGATTGAACACTGGGCATCACGTCCGCTCTGCTATACCCACACAGTCAATCGACTCCTTAGTACTAGAATCGATGACAGTTTGGGAGTGGTAGCTGCTGTATGTTTTTGTCTAAACCGTGCCCGGCGTTGAAGACACTCGCAAAAGTAGACCGCGGGAACGGCTGCCATGCTCGAGCGGGCAAAAATTGCAGCTTGCCCGGATCGAACGGGCGACCTTCAGATATCGGTGACTGAGTTTTGGTACTTCAGTCGTACGCTCTCCCAACTGAGCTAAAGCTGCTTGGTTGTTACTCGTTTTGTTTATAACATACTCATTGCAACATGTGAGCGACGTTGGCCGCGGTAGTCGGGCGAATGTCCCGTATCCTAGTCGGTCACTATACCTTAGTGCTTTTGCCACACTGCTGCGAAGCAGTGGGCTAGATTCGCCAAGTGTATCATGTTTCAGCCAAGGAACGACAGAATTTACCCACGAAACTGTTTGTTCTTCATTACTGTTTGTGATGCTGGAATCGTGACCAACCATTCCGTTGTCCATACCCTATCCCCGACCCAATCCCGATGCGGACTGCTAGTGTCGCATGGAAAACCACTCAAAAAGAAAAAACTCCTAGAACCTCTTAAACACAGGGAAAATTTAGCAGTTGCTCAGTCTGTTACTCACTCAGTCTCGTCATTCAGATTCCAAGGCCAGAAGAGGTGGGCGTTGGTTTCACATCCCCCATACCGTCTTCCTTCAAGGATCCCGCAGCCGTGCCGATCCGTCGTTCAATAGCGGCTGAAAGAGCCAGGGTACAGACTGTTGCACGTGTCGTCGAAGCTGCCACTGTCGCGATCCTGGAGGCTTGAGTAGTCATCACTATCCGGGTAGTCGGACAGTGCCGAGTGCAGGTAATTGTTCGAAGCGTCGTTGTCACTGCTGTTGTTCAGATACCTTGAGTAGTCAGAGCTGGTACTATTGTCAACGTAGCTGGAGTAATCAACGTCGGTGCTGCTATTCAGGAGGTTGTTCTGAAGACTCGATGACGGGTAGTCATTGCTGGTAGTGCTGTCGAGGCAACTTCGAGTAACTGTTGCCAGTGCTGCTATCGAGATAGCTGGACAAGTCGATATCTGTCCTCGTCCGCTCGTGCTCGTGGTAGCCGACCAAGTCCTGATAAGCACGATCAGACGTGTCGCTGTTCAGACCGTTCAGGAGGGCCGAATAGTCACCGCTTGTACCGAAGCTCGTGTAGTCAGCACCCATTCCATCCATGGAGACGTGCTCGGAGTCCATAACGCCCAGTGCGCTGTTCACGATGGTGCTACTGCCAGTCAGCCCGCTCTCAGTAGAGACGGCAGCGCGACGACCCAGCGAGACTCCGTAGTTGTCGTAGGTGGACATTGAGGGAGGGTGGCTGGGCGTACGTTGAGCCGTACGCGCGATCGCGGACGTAACTGAGATAGGATTCATTGGCTTCGTTGGCACTCTCAATGTTGCTGTATGAGTAGGCATTCGAACTGAGAGATTCGTATCCAGTAGCACTGCTACTCTCACCGTGGCTGGAGTGGGTAAAGCCGCACGTGTCTCCGCTGCCATAGGCGTTGCGACGCATCGCGTCACGGCGGAGACGCGAAGAGGCAGACAAGCGGGTGGAAGACGTGCGAGGCGAAGCCATGCTTGTGGTAGGGTGTAGGATAGTCTGACGGAGCGGTTCACGCTGGTTAAGAGCTAGTGAGAGGGTGGCGGATCTTGTGAGTTGAGATGGCGGGACTGATCAGTTGAGAGCAGTGCAAGGCGCACCTTAAGATTGGTAGAGGTGAACAGAACACCGGTCTTCCAATGTGTTGTTCCTACATTCACAGAGGTGGTGTAGCTATGCAATGCATTGTAGAGCGGCAAGGGAAGGCATTGTGTTGATGAGTCGCACATTCGATGTTGAAGTTGCGAGCTAAGAACGACAACAGATCAAAGGATCGGAGAACAGAAGCTATAACACCTACGTTGTGTTTCTGGATTCCTATCGAGAGTTAGACTTAGGAGATAAGCCCGATGCTCAACTTCAACATCGTTGGGAGACAGCCGGTAATGGCAGGACGACTGCTCCTCATCCTGATTCGTCCTTCCTAGAGAGCTTTGGCGCTGGGTTCCTCGCACCGCCGTTGTATTGAGATAGAGTGTTGTAGAATGACTTGGTAAATGCCACGTGCTGACCTGACAATGCATTGTGCTTCATGAGTTAGTAAGTTGAACGATTGAGCTGGAAGAATGAGAAAAGGAGACCCTTTGTTGGATGACAAATGTGTCGTTCAGCATAACCATAACAAGGCGACTTCAAAGGGTGGTCACTTTGCCTTTGTTTTGTATACTTGTACACGGGGACACTCAAACGAAGATTCCTTTATCAGAAATTTGATGATGTGATCGGGGTTTGTCTCGTTTCTTCGCGTGCGACAGCAGAGGCAGCAGCCGTAGACGCGTCTTGGCAATTTCTTATGGAGTCCTCCCGTGGAAGTCTAACCGAAGTAGAGTGAGAGAGCCAGAGTGAGAGAGCGAGACAGCCACAGAATCACACGTAGTGTATCACACTCGGTGCCGCGACCAGAAGTGAGATGCATGGAGTATTGACCTTGTTGGTCCGTAGTCATGCGGTGTATTCTTGCAGCTGTACCAACAAGGTTATCAAGAAGCGTTGAAACGGTAGTCAGACGGTCTTCGAGAGTTCATATATCTTTCCAGAACGAAGACATCCATGATGAGCGTTGCAGCCAGCGCGAGAAGGCCGATATAGCAATCTGGAACGACGTGCGGACGGTGATATTGAGACAACGTTGTTGGCTGCGCAGCGCACAGATGGCGGGATAACCAGTTAATAAACGTGTCGCCGCGGCTGTGGCTTCGTGCATTAGATATCTTGTTAGTGCAGAAGCCCCTTGACGATCCGATCATAGGGATAGCGCTGTACAAAGTAGCCAGCGGAAAGGAAATTGCGCTTCGACACGCGCGGAGGGTTGTACTCTGCTTCTGCCTCTGCCTCCTCTGTGATACTGTTGTGTTGCGTCCTGTCCTGTTCTGCCTCCGCCTGCTTCTCGTGCAGTTGTTCGCCGGTACAGCGCTGTCAGACTCCGGGAAGGAGGGAGCTTGCTTGCGCCGAACATGTGGTTTGGCTGATCCGATCTCAAGGTTGCATCCCGTCCACATCCCGAACTCGACGGGGCCACGATCCCACGCCATCATTGAGACACGAAGTAGCTTTCTGCTTCCTGGAGCGAACAGACATACTGTATGGCACTTTCACACGAAGCTGGCCTGAAAAGAAAAAGACGCCCGGCTCCCGAAGCCTCCTCACAGACGGGTTATTTGGACGAGTAGCATCACGGACGACGAGCTGGACGCACTGTCTGGACCCCATAATGTCTTCCCCAAGCGACTTCACAAACGGCGAAATGCCCCAAATCAGATCGCGCCTATCGCAGTCTACAGTCCGCAATCCACAGCTCGTAGTCAAGGCTCTCCAGGTCATCCCCCTTCTCTCCGGTACAGTACGACGCTGCCGGTGATGAAGACGGCCCTCGAACGCCGATATCTCCCTTGCCGCCTATCCTGCCACCTATACCTCGAGTCGCTTTAAGATACGAACCCGAACTTGGGTTGGATTTCACAGAAGAACCGCAAGCGGCGCATTCAGGACAGGATTTTGGGGAAGCTAAAGAGAAGGACGATACGGAGAACAACAAGAGCACGGTACAAGACACGCCACCGTTCGAGCATCCTACCCCATCGCAGTCCATCGGAGCATCTTCTGTATCTTCTTCTCAGTCGCCTGCCATAGAACTTCCTGCAGACAGTCCTACTGATCGTCTTCCTGTGCGGAATCCACCCAATCTTGTTGCAAAATCAGGCGATGGGCTGCCAAGGTCGAAGTCGGCGAACAATGTCACTCCACAAGCGACCACGAACGCGGGCCTGATGTCCGTACCGTATTCCTCGACTACCTCATACGGAGCCCCTCGACTAGGTGACAAGCCTCTTCAAACAGCGACAATGGTGAATGGTGTCAAGCAGCACGCAAGGACGTCTGGCCTCGGGTTTGAATCGTATCCACAGAAATCAGGCAAGAACAGGCTCAACCTTCTCAACCCGATGGCTCTGCTCACACGGCGCAAATCTGCGCAAACGGTGGATGTAAGCCGCAGCGATGCTCCAGCAGCAAAAACCTTGCGGTACCGCCCATGAACCTACCGGCCGACTACGACCCGAGAATAAGAGGGAAAGTGGTGCATGACTTTAGCGCGCCGAAACCACGTCGTTTCTTGTCTTACAATGATGCTGACTTGCCTTCTTCGAGCAACTCCGGTTTAGGAATCTCAATTGATAGAAACCCTGAAGATCGCCTGCAACCCGTGCTCGACGAATCTCCCAGACCAAAATCGTCAGAGTACAAGAGCCCGAGGCATTCTGCACAACATACCCCAATCTTCGTTGAACATATCGATGAGGATGACCAAGCATCGGACAAGAACCGTAACTCCGCAGTTCATGCCGAGACTCTAGCTAATCAGGATTTCCTCGCACGAGTCTCATGGCAAAGTCAGGAGTCTCTCGTCCTGCCGCCTTTCGCTCGCAGGAGCCAGAACCTGGAAGGACAACAGAGGCAGCTAGCGGAAGATGGACATAACAGGCAAACCAGTGACCCTTCGTCGATATCAACAAAGTCCGACGTCAGTGCTCGAAGCGGGCGTCAAGTCGCTCAGGAGCCTGCCCAACTCGAATCGCCAGTTTCCCTGGAATTCTCCAAACGACAGCCGCGTCCGACGTCCAGCGATGACCTTCCGAGCTCGGCATCGGCTGAGGAACTGACAGTGCCACATTCACAACATCTGTCAGTTGATGACGGAGCAGGCAGGACATCTGGATTGCCAAAACATCTTCGCAGTACTGCTTCCCGGTTTAGCTTTCAGATGGGTGGCAGCGACTCTGCGGCAGAAGAGAAATTGCTCGAGGAAAGGCACAAGACAAAGAGCGCCCAAACGCCAGTTGAGAGGGCGCCAGTTGAAGACGACGATGAGGATTACTTTGATGAAGATGCCATGTATGATCATGACGAGATGGAGGCAATCGATGGGGATGACCAGATCGACGAAACGGCGAATTGCACTGCGGTACAGCAGCTGAATAGTACTCACTCGTCTGCAGTGCTGGCACAAAGCCATTCTCCGTTTTATCTTGCGGATAACAGTGGATTCGCTCCCCACCTTACCTCATTAGCAGGGTCACCAGTACCACAGTCCGGTGTGCAG